TATTTACTGATTTCTAAAATGTATTCCAGCCAACCTCCAGTAATACATAAAATTGTACAAATGCACATTTTGACACTTTGTACTACATATAGCATTTCAGGTGTAGTATCATATGCACTACCTGAAAGTTTTAATTTTCTTCTCTCTTTTTTGGTTTTCCAATTTACTTTATACACCCCTGAATTTTCACAGTGCATAACCCAATCTAGTCTTTTCCATAGAAATACTTAATTGCTAATGCAACTTTCCCCTCTTTAAATATAATTACAGGTAATCCTCAATTTATAACCACAATTGAGCCCATAATTTCTGTTGCTAAATGAAACATTTGTTAAGTGAATCACTAAAGCTGTGATTAAGTTGGTGACACGGTTGTTTTTTTTTTTATTATTATTTTTTTATTATTATTTGATTTATATGCCGCCCTTCTCCGGAGACTCAGGGCGGCTTACAGTGCGTTAAGCAATAGCCTTCATACTTTTGTATATTTATACAAAGTCAGCTTATTGCCCCCACAAACTGGGTCCTCATTTAACCTACCTTAGAAAGGATGGAAGGCTGAGTCAACCTTGAGCCTTGGAGAGATTCGAACCAGCAGTAAATTGCAGGCAGCTGTGTTAATAACAGGGTGCTTTAAACCACTGTAGTAACCAAGGTTGTTAAGTGAATCTGGTTTCCCCATTGACATAAATCACCTTTTTCAGTGATGTTGTAACTTTGAATGGTCACTAAATGAACTGTTGTAAGTCGAGGACTACCTGTATTCTCAGCAACTGCAGCCTTCAGTTGTTTCAGCAGTGTTTTCCTGCTGCAGTCTCACGCAATCACAGAGAGTCAAGGAAAGACAGCTATAACCCTAATCCTAGTCCCTTTCCCACCAGAATTTGTCGCCAAACTGTAATTTTAATTTGGCAGAAGGAGAGCATCATTAAAGAACATGGAGAACAATTATATTAACTGCATTTAATTGTGGGATCAGCGGTGCTCTCTGAGGGTACTCCACAATTCCACCCTGAACTACATAACTTCTCTTCTATTGTATTTAATTTGAATAAAATGAAACAATGATATATGCTTATTTTCTTCCCTAGCTTCATAAAGGTGTCCTGCCTTGGTCAGTTCCTACTGTAAGCAACATGGGTCTTGGTATGCTATTCAGGTGCAGACTTCAGTCCGAAATACTTTGCACATTCTTGTTTTATAACAGGGGTCTCCAAACTTGGCAACTTTAAGACTTGTGGACTTCAATTCCCAGAATTCCCCAGCCAGCTGGCTGGGGAATTCTGGGTGTTGAAGTCCACAAGTCTTAAAGTTGCCAAGTTTAGAGATCCCTGTTTTTATAGGGACAGATGCCCTCTTAAGCAATAAGAAATGTCATCTTTGTTTGTTCCTATCAAAGGCTGTTGGGTTATATATATGTGAGTGAGAAAGTATTTATACAAAAGCTGGCTAAATTGATCCAAAAATTGTAGCCAGAAAGTGTTGTTTTCAACGTTAGGGAAATATATATATATTCTCCTTGCACCCAATGTGTTATTTAGTGAAAAACAATTCCATAGATTGCTACCCATTATATGCACTAAAGTGAATTGGGGAATTGTTGGAAAATCCTACAACAATTAAATGCAATACAGATCATGAAAATTTGTATATTTGCCTCAATTCACCCAAAGAAGGGATTCAGAGCTTCTTGAGTTGTCCAGCAAGATCTCACACCTATCTGAGGTAATCGGAGGCCATTTCAATGCCCCTATTGTATCCAATGTTTATTTTGTTCTCATTTTTTTACTTTCAGGATAGATCCTTCCATTAAGCAGAGTGAAGCAGCTTCTTGTGCAGTGGATAGAAAAGGGAAACCCTTGTGAGGGTTTTGTTTTTGCTTTTTTGCCTTTGTTCCCAAAATAATATGAGCAGCCTTGGAAGAACAGATCTCTTGCCTTGGCATGAGAGAGGGAACAGCCGTTGATCCTAATTAATCAGTCCTTGCTTGTTGCAATTTACCAGATAAGTTTTAGTGGGGGTCCTTGGTGATTTCTGAGCTTGGTTGTTTTGTCACACTTGTTTCATTACTCAAATTAGGTAACATCATCAGTGCTAAAGTTGTTGAGTGAACACTGATGGTGTTACGTAGTTTGGGTACTGAAACATCTTTAAGAAAACAGCCAAGCTCAGAGAGTACCAATGACCCCTCATTTCTACAAATACCTCCCTTTATTGATACGTTTTAGTGGGATTAGGTGATGTGTTTGTCTAGTTATAGAAGTTAATCTACTAAGTCCATTGTTTGGGTGGGTTTATATATCCTTTTGCTTATCTCATAGAAACCATGATCGAAATCCATCTATCCTCTTGTTTAATTTTGTTCAAGGCTGTCCATCTTTATGGAAGCCATATTTGTTCTCTGTGTGTTTGATTGCTTTTTGAATGTATTTGTTTTAATGTAATTTGTTTTGTTGATTGGGTCAAGAACTTTCTTGTCATGCAACATACCCTGATCTGTGTGCCACACAGCAGCTCTGTTACCTCATCTTGCCAATATTAAGCTGTCACCAGAAGAAGAAAAGGATATAATTTTCTTTACCATTTCTGGCAAGTCATGTTAGATCAATAAATCTCTGCTGGGTATTATGCTCTCCATGAGCAGCTTTTGTGATTGATTAAACACCTTAGCTTTGTTTTGGTGCTTAATCAATTGGAACAGCCATTTATTGCATGGTATATTATGAAGAGAAGACATCATCACAAAATTATTCCAGAGAGAAATAACAATTTGGAGTTGTCTCAAATATTGGTTTTTTGTTTTTGTTTTTAAATTCTAATAGTGGTTAAAGCTATTCACAAGTTTCTGGATGCATTTACCTTCCTTTGTCTCCAGGGAAAACGGAGTATGATTAATCACTTGCAGAACTATTGATACAATTAACATATATAAATGTTAGCAACTTGTAACAAAAGCATGGACAGAAATACTCTCGCCCAGATTCACGTTCTACCTTGCACTTTCTCTGGCTTTTGCAAAAAGTGAGCTTTTTCCCATCTATGATTTTTCCAATAAGCAAGTAGGAAAAAATGCTGCCTTACCTTAACAGATTTAACTACTAGCTATTGTACTTGTTGCTGTTTTCATCAGCGTAGATGCAATGGATGATAGAATGAGTAAGCACATCCTCATCAGTAACAATGTGGTACCAGTGAGAAAAAGGCACATAGAGAGATGAAAGAGACTTTCATACAAACTGAAACAACAAAATAATTGAGTAATTTAAGCCAGTTGTGAACTACGTGCAGTGCCCAAGTGCACCATTCTCTATTTTGTTTTCTGTATAAAACTTACAGTATTTCATAGGAAAGTTGGTTAAGCTTTTACCCAGGTAAAATGCAACCATATTGTAATGATACCAAAATTACTGAGGCATACACTGTATTCTCAAGTTGAATTAAAACTTTATTAAAGTATTAAAACATCAGAGCAGAGTTGTCTTAAATAGGAATCATAGTAATGTGCTAGATCTAGTGGTTAAGGCACTAGGCTAAACACCAACTGACTTCGAGTTCTAGTCCTGCTTTAAGCATGGAAGCCAGCTGGGTGACTTTGGGCCAGCCATTCTCTCTCTCACACCAATTCGCCTCACAGGGTGGTTGTTGTGGAAGAAAATAGGAGGAGGAAGGAATATTAGGTATGTTTGCCGTCTTGAGTTATTTATAAAAATAAAAAAGGTGGGATAATAAAATAAATAATGTTGTAATCATTGGGAGACTTGAGAGCTGCTGAAAGCTGATACAAATGTTGGGGTTAATTCCGACACAGGTTTCAATGGCAGAGTACCCGGACTTGAACCCACATTAAAACCAATTAAGCTTTCTGTGAAAAGGTGCTGATGGCGCTAACCATTTAAAAGGCATTTGCTTTCCTATGCTAACAGACTTTCCTCCCCTTTTCTCGATATTACCAAATGCTTTTTGTTTTGTTTTGTCTTTCAGGTATAACCCAACTTTAGCATTTTGCAGCAGCTATATCCATGTGCCAGCCGTTAGGAACTGGTCCCTTCCCCCCAACACCCCACCACCCTCCCCGTGTATCTATTTTTTGTCTGATAAGTTCACAAGCACTAATGCACACTTGAAATGCAGGCGCTATTTTGATCACCCAATTGTTCAGCACTTTACGCAGGAAAAAGCGGTAGGCCACAGTCATGAGACTTCGAGAGGATGGCTGCTGGCTGGCTGTGGCAGAGCTGGTCGTTGTTCCACCCCCGTCCCTCCTTTGCTCTAACCATTTTGTCTGTCTATCTCGTCTTGTATTTAGTTTTCAAAGCAATACCATGAGGGGTCTCCTTCCTTCCTCTATTTTTTTTTTTTAAGCGCCTTAAAGGGAACAATATATTTTTAGGGTCAACCAATGTATCGATACCAAATGTGCAGATTATTTTCAAATTGCCTGCAGCCTTGAGAATACGAAGAATTTTTAAGCTCTATTTTGCCATTTACTTTCTATTTGGAGATATAATTCCATGTATTTTATGAAGGATGCAGCTCCTGGGAACAAAAAAAGAGATAAGGTGTTCATTTACAAAGCAGGGTTTATTTTTCTCCTGCTTGGTTTTGTTATTCAATGATGGAGAGATGCGAACTGTAAACATAAAAATGTATTGCTTCCCTTTGAAATTTAATCCTATTCCATATTTTCATTAATGTTGGCTGATTTTGTTCTTAATTTTTGTTCATTTCGTTGGTTTGCGATTTTTTTGCATGAATATGCAGAGTAGCAATAAACTGATTTTTTTTTTTGAGTGTGCAGATTTTTCTCTTTCAGATCCAGTAATAAAAACCCTTTTAAGTTCATCTGTTCTTTAAGATACAGTATTTTTTTTTATTCTTAAACAAAAACAAGAAGAGTCTATGTCAGTGAATTTATAATATGATTTTCTGGGCATCAGTAAGTGACAACCGTTGGGGGAAAGTTAATGTCCTGTAAGAATTTCGTTGTCTGCTGTTGCTAGGTCACCCCGGGACAGTAGCCGAAGCAGCGAGAAGCTGGAGCTGGAATTATCAAATCTCACGGCGGATGTTCTGGAACTGCTGTTGGAATTTGTTTATACAGGTTCCTTAGTAATAGATTCTGCCAACGCCAAAACTCTTCTCGAGGCTGCCAGCAAATTCCAGTTTCATACATTCTGCAAAGTCTGTGTCTCTTTTCTAGGTAAGTATTGATGCTATTTCCTTCTGTTTTGCCTTTCAGCTCCTCTATATATGAACTATAGCATTTTACATTCTGTAACTATCCAAGAAATATAGAGCCGTAGAATTGCCCTTAGAAATGCTTTCAAATGGAACAGAGAAGGAATCATCCATATATTCCGGCAAAGTTTTTATCTTAATTCAGAATAACTCTGGAATTAAAAAGTGCTTTAAAACTGGGATTCCTCACCCCACCCACTTGAACTTTTGGGAACAAAAAGTAAAAAAAAAAAAAAAAGTACAAGCAAAATGGACACTCCTGTCACATCCTTTCCCTATTTACTTGCTATTTATGGTCGCAACTCCAAGGTTATGGTAAAGGCAAGAAAGCTTGCTCTTCTTTTAGGGGGCTTGAATCATTTCCCAATTCTGCCCCACCAGCATCATTACAGCCACTCTAGTTGCCGAAAGACTCATCTGGAGGGCTCATGAGGAGAGCATTTTTGGGTTCACTAATGCCCAAATGGGGCTGAAGGTATTTGTGCTTTCTGATTTCACTGCATTTGTTTGGTCCAGATTTTATTCATAGAGTTTAAAGATGGATATCTCATGGTATTTGCCGCCCTAGTGCAGATTTAACAACTGTGCTCCAGCATGTTTTAATAGATTGTATAGATTTTATAATAGCCCACAAATATATCTGTATACATTATCTCTAAAGATTCGGCTATTATAACACAATATATTTATTTCCACTAAATCAATGTGAAACTTTCCTTTCCCAATATTTAATATTTGAATTCAGTGAACTGTGTTATAGTTATGCAATTGGGAGACTTGGCTGCAAGTTTCATTATATATAAGGAACTTAGAGGCTTGCATTCTCATTTGGAGAATTCATAAAATATAATTGCTTGTTTTGATTTATAGCCCTTGCTGGATTGAGTTGCGGAAACAGGTCGTAGAATATTTGCTCTATGAAAAGTTTAGAGAAAAGCATTTTAGCTGGACTCATTTTTCATTTTATCATAAGCATTGCATCACTTTAAAGCACTATTTCCAGTGTTCTTCTGAGAGACACTAATGGAAAAACTAGTTAGGTCTCTTCACTATGTTACAGAGGCAAATTGGCTTAGGGATTAATTTTCTATTTGAATTTGTATTCCTCTTCCTCTCCTCTTCCATTTTCTTTTAGATGGCTTTAAGTAACCTAAAGATTGAAGAGAATATTTAGAGCAGTTCTCTATTTTCCTTGCTGTCTTTGGGTGATTTTTAATGTGTTTTTATTATTATTATTTTGGAAATAAAATAAACAGATACACAGGGGGAAATGTAATATGATTTCTAAATACAGTGCTTTCCCATGAAAACTTGCAATATTAGTACAGCTGAATACAGCATCTCAAGGTTTTGACCGGGTAAGAAAGAACATGATCTGAATAGGAATCAATGAATGCAGCAGAATTTATAATTCTATCTACTGTCTTCATTGGTGAAGAAGGAAAAAGAATGATGAAATTATATTGCTGCTTGTGGACTATCAGAACTGCAATTATACCTCTGCTTGTCAGCCATTCAGATTGGAGAATATTGAGTTTTTTTCATATATTAAGCCACATTTTTTAGCAAAATGTTCTGAATAAAAGCATAGTTGGATGGATTTGCGGGGTGCCATATGTTATAAGCCATGCTTAACAGATCTTTATAGCTGGATTAGCTCATGATGTTAAGCCATGCCCAAATCCTGACTTGGCACCGTTCATGAACCTCCCTTTCATTTGCATATCTTGGGATTAGTGAAGATGTGGTTTTTGAGATATCTTAATCATGATTAACAGATTGTTAGTGAGTGATGAAGTCTCAATCTGTCTATATGTATTCCTTCCACCTGTCTGAACATGATGAAGCATTATATTGGCACTAACATTGGCTGCCATAAAGAATAAAACAATTCAGTTTAAACAACCACTTAATTTTAAATCCTACGTGATGGGATGCTTTTAAAATCTATACCTGGACTATCATTAATCAGAATGAACCATGCTGATATAAAGCTTAATCATTAGTAAGCAGCAGGTTAAAGAAGCCGTAAAACAAAAGAAACTTAAGAGTAAGTTTTTATATTGTTCTAAAGCCAATGCTTCAGAAATTGGAAGCATTATATCTCCCCTTGATCCTTTGATAATAAGAATTATTCAAGAGAACTGAGTCTTGTTATTATAAGAGTGATAAAGATTTCAAAATAATTTTAACCCTTAAAAATCATTAACAAACTTGAAGACTAGTAAGTTACTTTTTAAACATTATGCCTGAATTACCGTCCAAAAAAATATTTTCCAGTGCTGGGTGCACAAAAAGCACTTTCCAAATGAAACTTATTTTGCTAATATGACAGCATAAGTATTAGAGACAAACTAGACAACCCCATGACCTGTTGAGTCACAGTTTCAGAGATATTTACTTACCTAAACAGATCAACAGAATGACCACAGCCAGGCCAAAAAACAAACAAATAGTGGAAATGGTTTCTGACTTCCTTCTCTGTTGACTTTGCTTGTGAGAAGCTTGCAGGGAGTATCAGAAATCATAATCATGTGCTGGCTGTGGCAATGTGGCAATCCAAATTTGGTAATACAGCTGGTGTGAAGATCCTTTAAATTTCATTTACACAGGAGAAAAGGGTCACAGATGTACATGTTCTTTAAGTTAGCAAATATGAAGTACCTTTATTCAGAAATGTTGGCGCTGTGATGCACCATTTGAATTAGTTGAAGGTTACAACCGACAGGAGAATTTTAGTAGTACACATGTCGAGCAAGACCACTTTCAAATCTTCAAAGTCATTAATGTCCTGATACGTTGTACAAAAACACAGTGATTCATTTATTCAGATTTTGTGGCTGTGATATCCTTAGACAACTTTGTCCGATTGGTTTCCATTTTAGAAAGGGCCAAGCTTTCTGGAGAAGATAGTTACAGCTGTCTCTCACTTAATCCCCTCAAATACATTTGGTTAGTCTCCGACCAAGTAGTGTCGAGGGCACATTTTACCTTAAATTACAGGAAACTGCTGTGATATCTAATTGACCCAAGGAACTATATAAATAAAGATAGATCCTTGGTGTAAAAATAGATATTTTTTATTTTTCCACCAAAAATGCCTTTCCACTGAAAAATGCCTTTCTCATAAGAGATCCTCCCCCCACGCTGCCACCAAATAGGATATTTTTTTTCCAAGTAAAAGTAGATCTTTACCTTGATCAATATGGGTTTCAGATTAGTTTTCCTTCCCTTTGAAATGTCTTTACTTTCAATTTTTTTCTTCTGGGGTGACACACTTAAGGTTCCTGGAGGATCTTTTACTAGGAGTTTATTTATTTTAATCTTTTTTGAGGTTTCTTTCTTGAGGATTTACTTATTTTAATCTTTTTCTTAGGATTTGCAATTATTTATGCAATTAATTTCAAGAATTGTTTAATCCCAAATCCTTGAGTTTTAATTGGGAAACAATTGCAAAGTCACTGCTGCAGTGCAGGGTGGGTAGGTGGAGGAAGTAGTATCCTTAACGGCCCCAACTTCTCTGATTTCTGGGACCATAATAATAATAATAGTTTAAAAATTGTTTTTTAAAAAAAATGAAATCTAAGATTCTCAGAATTTTGAACCCTGTATCTTATTGCTAGCTTCTGTATCCTTTAATGCTCTCATGGAACTGCTACATTTACGCAGCCCTTAACATCACCCCTATTCTTGGCTGTTCATGTTCCCTCTTAATAAGGTTAATATTTAAGATATGCTAGGCTCATTTTGTATTTATATTATTACTCTTATTATGCACATTTGTTAGAGACTGGTGCTTATCCTTCATCTCCAATCACCCTTTGAGATTCCAGATGACATTCAAATGGCATGAGCCATGGTGGCCCAGTAGTTAGAATGCAGTATTGCAGGCTAATACAGCTCACTGCTAGGAATTCAATCCTCACTGGCTCAAGGTTGACTCAGCCTTCCATCCTTTTGAGGTCGGTAAAATGAGAACCCAGATTGTTGGGGCCAATATGCTGACTCTGTAAACTGCTTAAAGAATGCTGTGAAGCGGTATATAAGTCTAAGTGTTATTGCTATTTAAGACAATAGCAGACAGGCTACATGTACAATGAGTAAAAGCCATCCTCATGGTATACATTTGTGACATGTAATAATGTGGCATGTAATAATATTGATCAAGAAAATGGAAGACCTATCCTATACCTTTTGTTTTTTACATTCTTTTTAGAAAAACAGTTGACTGCTAGCAATTGCTTAGGAATATTAGCCATGGCTGAAGCAATGCAGTGCAGCGAACTATACAATATGGCGAAGGCCTATGCCCTGCAGATTTTCCCAGAAGTGGCAAATCAAGAGGAGATTCTTAATATCTCAAAGGATGACGTCATTTCCTATATGTCAAATGACAGCCTAAACACAAAAACAGAAGAACTGGTTTACGAAACAGTGATAAAGTGGATTAAAAAAGATCCCGCAGTCAGAGCACAGGTAAGGATATAGCAGAGTTTATGAGATTCCTGCTCTTCCTTTTGTTTTTCAGTAAAGCACTTTTACATCAAATGCTACTTGCTTCCTTTTCAAATCTAAAGTTTGCTAGATGAGAGCAAAGAAAAATGCAAATGGGTGTAAAAATATTTTGTTTTGTCATCTGATTGCTGTATCTGATTAAAATTAAAAGATTCATATTTGTTGTCAGAATAACACAAAAAATAGAAGGATTAATATAGAGAGAGGTATGCTTCCCAAAATGGAAGGCCGGATTTTTTTAAAAAAGGAAACAAATGAAGCCTCTTCAGCAAAAAAACCAAGAAAGTACTGAGCATTGCATGCTGATCACATAATTGGCTTATGAACATGGTATAATGAGAGAAGCTCTGCTAGATCAGTGCTGGCTGTGCAAATGTCAGTAAATATTTATTGGGGCAACTTTCTCCGGATAGTTACTTCGCTAGCAGTTGATCTTAATTGAGATAAAAATTCAGATAAAAGGTTTTAAATTCTGCCCTGGTTCTGAGAACCCTAATAGTAAAATGTTGTCATTGGGCTGGAAGAATTACAAGAGCAGCACGTAAATTTACCAGTTGTCTTAGCTGATTAAGATTTATACTGAGCTAACTTCACACATTATCGATCTAAGTTATAAGAATTGACTCAGTGATCAAGTAGTCTCTTCATTTGCTTCTCCTATAAGTTCAGCTCAATGAAGTTGTGGCCAAGGTGATATTGTTATTGTGTCTGACATTTATAAGATGCATCTATGGCACGTTCCATGTACATAACCAGTTTGTATTCCTTGTTGTCTCATAACATTTCATCAGGGCAAAATTACGCTTTTCAGAATTTAGCAAATGTTAATACTTAGAAGAACTATGATGAAGTAGAATAATAGTATTTTGGAATTACAATCAAACTAAGAAAATACCTTATTCCATAGCTTCACCCTATAGCAGTGATGGCTAACCTTTTTGCCATCGCGTGCCAAAAGCAGGGGGAGCGTGGTGGGGTCACATGCATGCGTGCCCACACCCATAATTCTATGCGCCCTGCCCCTCCCGTGCTCCCACCACTTTTGGCACACGATGGTACGGTGCGGCCGGTAGGCCCGTTTTTTGCTCTCCCCAGTCTCCAGAACCTTTCTAGGAGCCTGGGGAGGGCAAAAACGGCCTTCCCCACCCCAGAAACAGTGTGTTTCCTGACTTCTGGTGGGTCCAGAAGGCCCGAAAATCAGCTGGTTGGCGCACGCATGCGTGCCAGAGCTGAGCTTGTGTGCCCACCGATATGGCTCCGCGTGCCACCTGTGGCACCCATGCCATAGGTTCGCCATCACGGCCCTATAGGTTACAGTGCTCAACCATTCTTATTTCACTCACATAAACAAATATATTTTATAAGACAGTTTCAAAATCTGATAGAATATCAGAAGCACACTTCTTCTTACAAAAAGAGTTTACAATAAGTCACCCCTCTCAATGGGGCTTAGTTTCTGCTTATGGGTTTCAGGAGTTCAACAGTACAAATATTGTTAAATTAAACTCTCCGGTCAGAAGGAAGGGAGGTTGATTCATTTTGTACAATAATTTAATAGAGTCCAGAACAGTGGAGAATCTGGAATAACTATGAAATTATTCCAAAGATATTGCGGGGTATTTATATGTTTGGATTTATGCCAGTGTTTTTAAATAAGATTTAACTCTGAACAGGGTGGGAAGTAATTATCTATTTTTGTTGAACAAACTTACATGTTTTGTCCAATATCTCTTAACCTTTTTTTTTACTCCAGGATTTTAATCAAATAATCCAGTGGTGGGTTTCAAAATTTTTTACTACCGATTCTGTGGGTGTGGCTTGGTGGGTGTGGCATGGCTGTGTGGGTGTGGCAGGGGACGGTTACTGCAAAATCCCCATTTCCTCCTGATCAGCTGGGAATTGGGAGGCAGAGAATAGATGGGGGCAGGGCCAGTCAGAATTTTTACTACCAGTTCTCCAAACTACTCAGAATTTTCGCTATCGGTTCTCCAGAATTGGTCAGAACCTGCTGAAACCCACCTCTGAAATAATCCCCATAAATACTACCATATCCATTGCAACCAAAACTGGTTTTATAGCCTCCCAAACTTTCTTAGAGTGGAGATCAGAAAAATATTATAAGATGTAGGCTAATTAAAATACCCAAAAGACTAACAAGGTCATCCCATCATTCAAAATGTTCTGGGCACTAGTATAATATGGAAAGTATACGGGAAGTACATTTGAAATCACTGGCAATCTAAAATAGTCCGATACATTTCAGAAGCTGTTGTACTGCCAAAGGAACACTGAAAGACATTAAATTACGCTCAATGCAAAGGGCAGCAGGTCAGAAACCTGGGTAAAAAATGGAAACAGGATGATTCTAGAATGAAGAGTGCCCTGCATGAGGCAAGACTTCAGCACATGGTTAATTTTGTGGTTAACAATATTCAAAGAAAGAAATTCAAAGAATATTCAAAGTAGCCGAGTGCTACTCTCTCCTTCTGAATGGCCTAAAGGAGACTAATTCTTGCTTTTGTTTCCACTAATAACTAAATCTCAGCTTTATTAACTTATATTAGCACCTCATATTTTGAAGCTGACCTGCATAAAAAAATAAGCAAGACTTGACTATAATCTATGAATCTTACTTTACATGCTGTGATAAGATGGTAAATTGAATGAAAATCCTATCAAAGATATATTTCTGGAAAGATGAAAGCAGAAGTTCATAATCTGGGATGAAGCTTTTGTTCATCCTTGGGCTCCATTGGCGATGGAGCTCACTACTGCTTGTCGTCAAGAAATCACAGTTTATAATTCTGATTAGTTCATTCATTTTGCTCCGTGGACCATTCAGCATCAGTAGCTTCTTCTGACTCAAATACTTGGAATAGCAGTACGCTGAGGCCAAAAGATATTGCACAGAAAATGTTATTTGTTTTGTACTGCTGCTTTCTTTCTTTCTCTTATCTGCTAGTTAAAATTCACACATTTAAGTTGTAAGAGGCAGTTTCATTTTCTCCCCCTTTTGCCATTGCTACTGTTACTTTTCCTGCTCTCCCATTCATGCTGTCCAGACATTTTTTTCGACACTGGCCTGCGTTTTCTTCTCATCATACTTCTCTTGCGACGTGCCTTTTTGGTTTATTGTGCTATTCTTATTTGTTTTGCCTGAGAGTTTCTCATTTCTTATTTTAAATGTTTATGTACATTTCTATCAATATGTTTGCAGTTAAATTATTGCTCAGATATTTATGACTAGTTCCTGTCATATGGTATGGATAAATCAGTTTTCAAGATGATTGCCATGACCTGTTTTCTCCCTCAGTTGCTGTATCCTATATTACAGGTAGTCCTTGACTTATGACTGGTCGTTTAATGGCTGATCAAAGTTACCATGGTCTCAGAAAGAGTGATTTAGGCCTGCAAAGCACTTCTGACTGTTGTAAAACATTGTGCCTCCCCCTCCCCTTGCGATCACACAACTACATTTTGGATGCATGGCAATCTGTTCGTACTTAACAACTTGTTGCCAAGAGCCCCATGAACATGTGATTGCCATTTGCCATCTTATCTGCTGGCTTCCCAGAAAGTCAATGGGGCTGGATGAAAGAGCGGCCTGCCAAATGGAGCTGAACATTTCCGCCAGGCTGTGGAAATGGAGCTTGGATCATAGAGATCCGAACTCCATTTCTGTAGCCTAGCCGAGGCATTCTCTTCTCCAGACTGCAGATCACAAAGATCTGAGCTTCATTTCTGCAGCCCTTGGGAGGGGTTTCCCACCCCTTCATACATAGAAATGGAGCTCAGATCCAGAAGGTCTGATCCGGAAGTCTAATCCATTTGTCCAGCCCTTTAAAGGAATTCTCCTCCATACAGAGAGGAGCGGGGAACTCCACCCAAGGACTTCAGAACCAGAGCTCCACACAGTGTTTTGGAGGAGTTCCCTTCTGTGCATAGAGGGGAGCAAAAATCCTTCAGCATGCAGCTCTTTTACTCCATTCATTTAACGGCCTCGGAGATTGTTTAGCCTCGGAGCCTGGGTGGCGCAGCAGACTAATGCTACTGTTAAAGGTAGTATTTAGCTTCCAGCTGCCTGCAATTACTGTGAGTTCAATTCTCACCAGACTCAAGGTTGACTCAGCCTTCCATCCTTTCTAAGATAAGTAAAATGAGGACCCGGTTTGTGGGGGCAATAAGCTGACTTTGTATAAAATATACAAAAGTGTGAAGGCTATTGCTTAACGCCTTGTAAACTGCCCTGAGTCTCCGGAGAAGGGCGGCATATAAATCTAAATAAATAAATAAATAAATAAATTTGTTTAACAACTGCAAATGGGATTGAATCATTGAACAAATCAGTCATTTGACTGATAACCAAAATTCCAGTCCCAATTTTAGTTGTAAGTCAAGGTTTACCTGTATCTGAAGATAGTCACATAGATGCTATCTTCTAACATCAAAGATGTTCTTTCTTCGGATGCTTTCATAAAAATCCTGTTTTAAAATTTCATAATGGCATCTTTAGGTTCTGGAACTCAGGAAGAGATTACACTGGGGGCGGTATAGAAAGTCAAGTTCAATAGCCTTGAAAATGTGTGTTTAAAAATAGCTGTAGATATATAAATGGCACTTCCCATGGTCAGGAAAGATAATGCAAGATTTTACACTGACTAGACATTAAGTTGTATAAAGAGAGATGGACGGAGCTGGCTATATTTAGTTTTGGTAGGCTAAAGGATAGTGGGGTGATGATATGACAATCTTCTTGAAATACCTGAAGGATGTCAAACAGAAGATTAAAACTTCTTTATTTATCTTAGAGTGCAGGACACAGACTAACAGATTACGTTATAGGAGGGCAGATTCCAGTTCAGTGGTTTTTTGGGGGGAAATGACCTTTCTAACTGTAGGAGCAGTTGACAGTGGGACCAATTTCCCAGGGAGGTGATGGGCTCATTTTCACTAGAAAGGTG